CAGCCACGACCTTGTTGAAAATTGTTCGGTGAACTTGTTCAGCCTTTCTTCCAAAAGCACGCTGGGTGCCAAACAAGAAAGCAACAGCCTCGTCATCAACCTCCATCATCATATGGTACTTGTCAAGAATGATGGAGGGCAGCACACCATGTTCAGATTCAGAGAGGAACTTCTCCTTTTGTTCTTTCCTCAATGAAACCTTGCTTTTTTCCACCTTGCTTGTGTCGAGCCAAAAATCTGTGACATCCTTCCCATTTTTGCATGAAACTGATGTCGTGACCATGGCATTGGGGCCATGTTCTGATTCTTTCAGGATCTGTCCAATCTGGCCCTCAACTTTGGATGCACACAGTAAAGCTGGGTCTTTCTCAGAAGTCTTTGCCTCTTTTGGGGCAAGTGTTTCTGCGGCTTTACGCATGCGCCCAAGCACAATGTAGCCGATCCATTTCTCCTTGCTGGCCCTGCCAGGACGAACGGGCAACCACCCCTCCGCACTTGCTAGTGCCTTCAAGTCTTGGAAAGTGGATGCCTGCAACCCTGTCCACTCAGTCTGACCAAGCTTGCGAATGCGGAAGGCTTCAGATTCTACCTGCTCCCGCGCAAGCATTTTGTAAGGTATTTTCACTTCCGACTGGTTCGGCCCCAAGCAGCGCACAGTGAGGCGGAATATGCGGCGTCCTTTGTGCTCTCGTAGGTCCACAGCACTTTCCTCCTCCTGAGAAAGCAGGGTGGCGGAGGACAAACCATGACAAAACTGCGCATTGCAAAACTGGAAAGAATACAGCAAACTTTGCTTACTGGGCAGGCAAAGTAAAACGACAACACTGGAACAGATTGAGGCATCTGCACTCTTCTTGGGCACAGCCGCTGAAGCTGGAGCCTGCCATCAGCAAAACAACACCTCTCCCTTCAATCGATCCAAGTGCCTCAACATGGCCAACTCTACGCACTGCAGGTCGGGCTGAGATATGCTGGACCACAAATAACCACGGAACCCATCAACGCCTCAGGAGCCTTTTCAGGACCAGCTGCTGAAGATGAGGCCTGCCACAGCAAACCCACACCCCTCCCGGAATTCCATGTGGCTAACTCTACATCCCATGCATTCACCATGGAGAGACTCAAATCATATGGAAAAAGCAATGGACTCCATCAAGGCCTTTGTCTCCTTTGGGTCAACTGCTGAAGCTGAATCCTATCAAAAGCAAACCACCCCCCCACACACCCCAAGCATCCACTAAGGGTCAACATGAGAAAAGGGCGTATGAGAACACATGCTTTCTCATTGCAGGCAAACCAAATGCCACATTGTTCCAAATGGCCAACTCTACATGGTATGATTCTATGAGGCCTCCGTCTCCTTGCTGGTGTCTCCCGCTGAAGATGAAGCCTGCACAAGCAAGCCAGCGCCCGCACCCCTTGCCCAAGATTCCAAGTGGCTAACTCTAGTCTATGCATTCGAGGCACGCCCTGAAACCAAATTGGCACTTGCTAGGTTGGAAGCATTCCAAATGTCTAACTCTAGTCTGTACACTCTGGACTCTTGTTAGACTGGGGCGGGCTACGTGGGAAGGCAAGCGGGACTGGCCTGCACAGCGTCCACATTCCCATTCGTGGCATCAGCCTTCAAACAAGCGGCGTCTATAGCTGTATCTGTATATGTGAATGTACAAGCACAGCCACGGATGCTGAGACCAAAGGGTCATTGCTTTCGCATGCAAGACAGCATACAAAAGATATTGCTTTTGATGGCCACCACACTCCATAGTATAGCAACGCTATATACATTCTGGATAACTCTACAGCATTCTGATGCCAAGACTAAACACTGACTATACATGGCGCTCACTCCGAAGCAGAAGCAGTTTGGTGTGCAGTTTTTTTGCATCCACTTGTCACAGTGCATGCAAAGCCCAAATGAAGCGAGCGAGCCAGAATTGTTCAAACCATTGCACTGGCGCCTGATGTGAAAGCATTTGCCACCTTTTGCAGTGTAAATCATGCCCGGCAGTCTAGGGTTGTCAACTGTGCTCCTTTGATTTGGCTCTCCCTGGAATGCTGCTTGTGGTTGGCGCGCTTGCAACAGCTCCGCCTGAAGTTGCTCGATCATGTTGTTTTTAATGGCCAGCTCTTTCTCCAGCCACTCCATACGCTTGCGTTGCTTGGACATAGCAGCTTGGCGCGGATTCAGCAGGTCTGACAAGGGGTAAAAGGGAGCTTCCATAGGAGCAGGCTCCTTCGCAAACCAAAGAGCGATGACATACCCCATCTTGTAGACAGCACGCATTCCGCCCAATGCGGACAGAACCAGAACAGAAGCAATGATGTAATCTAGGATCTCAATGGCCATTTCTACTACCATGGGACTGTTGGCTGAACAGAACAAACAGCTTGAACCTCCGCAACAGCCCATGAATTGACACAAGCCGGGACAAACAGCTGTGCAAAGGTGGAGGCAGGGTTGGGAAGTGTTCATGCCTTCATCGCATCTGCTGAAGATACAGAAGAAGCCTGCCGCAAACATGTTGACAACCCACAGAACAAAACAAACAAAGGTCCCACACGTGGTAAACAAACTTCACGCAGCCTCGAATACTTCTGTTGGCTCTTCGGACCCAAGTGGTGACTCCAAGGCCTTTCATGAATTGAGAAGCACCGTTTCTAGATCTCTGTTATACTATATATACAGATTTTTGTAACACTTCAGGACAATGGCGCCTTGGCTTCATTCACTGGTGTTTTTCTCAAAGGCGAATCCTGCCAACACAGCCCACCACACTGCGACTAGAAGTTTGATATGAAATTCTACCAGCAAAAAGGTCATTTCGTTCATTTGGAACCTCAAGAATCTCCACTGATCCACTGGTTGAAGAAAAAACATCCACAGCCGGATTGCCACCATCCTGGCCGCAGGTTGCAGCTAAGTTGCAGGTGTAGGAAAGGAAGTGAAAAGGATAACTCAAAATGTAAGATGCAAGCATCCCAAAGAAAGATAGACAAACGCTTCCCTTCAACATCTGGAATCTGGATATCTCTAGCACCACTCTACACTCTACACAGCTTCAGCAGCTGAGCTCTGCTGCTGCTTAAGGCAACACATGAAAAAGCTCTTTTGTCCACTCAACCCCGAACCTGCACTTCAGCGGCTTGTGAAGCCTCAAAAGCCCGCAAGTGCATTTCACCATGCAAGAGTGTAGAACGAATCTTGGTGTGAGACGGCCACACGTGCTTGGTCACCACCTCCATCGCCACAAGAAGTTGAGGCCTCCTGGACGGTTGCAAATGCTTCCCCTTCACTTCCTCTCTAAACTTGAGAACCAAACACCAACGCACACTGCAGTCGAACAGCAGCCAGGAAAAAGGAAAAGTGGACAACTCTATCCAGATCTTGTGGAAAGAAACAACAGAAGCCCCACAAGTGCACAAGTCTATCCAGATCTTGTGAAAAGAAACAAAACTGATCTCAATTGGACACTTCCACGCTTTATGCCCACCAAAAAGACATTCTTGAAAGCATCCAAAAAAGGAGAAAGAAAGCGCTTCCCTTCCAACATGTGGATATCTCTAGCACAACTGCTCTCTGCTGCAGCAACAAAAAGCAACATGTGGACAACTCTTATTCCACTCGACCCCGACCTGCGCATCCATCTTGGATGCTCCATCATCTTGCAGAGCCTGCAAAGGGCTCCAACCGTGACACGGTGGGAACTCGCAGTTGCACATCATTTCACGCGGAAAGAACCTCTTGGTGTCAGACGGTCGCCCCACGACCATCTCCACAAGAAGTTGAGGCCTCCTGGACGGTTGCAAATGCTTCCCCTTCACTTCCTCTCTAAACTTGAGAACCAAACACCAACGCACACTGCAGTCGAACAGCAGCCAGGAAAAAGGAAAAGTGCTCAACTCTATCCAGATCTTGTGGAAAGAGACAACAAAAACCTCACAAGTGCACAACTCTATCCAGATCTTGTGGAAAAACAACAAAAGGAGGTGCGGTGCCACATCCCAGCCTCTACAGGAGGTGCCGCAAATGTGGCCTCAACAACACAACGTATAAAAGTAATATATGTATATATGTTTGTATCAAAAAAAATATATACACACGTTTTTGTGCCCAGTCTTCAAGATTGAACATGTTGCAGCTAGACAAGACCAGGCGCCCGGCGGGCAATTTGCGACGTGCTTGCATGGCAGCAGTGTTTTGGGCCGTGCAAGCTTTGAGGGAGCAGCGGGCAAAGCGAAATACACAAAACACACCGAAGTACACAAACATTTGATGGATGTGTATGCTCCTACTTCTATTCATGTCCCTTTCCTTGTCCTTTTCTGCTTCTCTGTTCCGTTCTTCCTTCTTCCTCCCAATGTTTGAAGGATCTTTGTGGGACTCTGATTTGTGTGTTCTTCATAGAGTTAGCCACAATCTGAAATTCCAGCCTCCTTAAACTGGGCTAGGCTAGCCTTGTCATCTCTTGTTGCCCGGTTTTCTGCAAACACTGGGCGTTTTTGACAATTTCTTATCATTGTGGAGTTCCTTTGTGGGACTCTGGTTTGTGTGTTCTTCATAGAGTTAGCCACAAT